TGAATTAATTTTTTGATATGTTTTTATTATGGCAAATATAAAAGGGGGCTTCAAAAACTTGTGAGAAAATCCCATTATCCTTTTTTTTTTTCATTATCTTTTAATTCCATTTTTCCATGAATCTTGAAGCCACGTTGTGTGTGTGGATATCTCTATGTCCCTCTATATATATATTTACCATAATAAAAACATTAAATCTAAAAAAAGATTGAATCCAGTTTAAAAGGCATTGTCCCTGCAGATGGCCTCCCACACCCCCTCAAGCCTCAGAGCACTGTCCGGTAGGCACTCTCTTTCCCTGCCTGCGTAGCAATGTTTGCTCTTCCATGTGTCTCCCAGATTGTCCTCTCCGCTCCTTCAGGGGAACAGTTCTACACAGCCACCCTCAGTGTGCCAGGCACTGGCCTGTGTGTGTGTGTGTGTTGGGGGGAGGAGTCCAGAAACTTGGGGGTGTTCTAATTAGGTTCAGTTCCCCCAAAAGATAAGTTCAGTAGTGGTGATGGTTGCCCAATATGGTGAATAGAATTAATGCCACCAAACTGTACACTTAAAAGTGGTTAAGATGGCATATTTTATGTAACATATTTCACCAGTCGTTGTGAATATCATCTTATTTGGAATTAGGGTTTTTGCAGATACAATTAGTTAACATGAAGTCAGATCGGAGTGGGATGGGTCCTAATTCAATATAACTGGTGTTCCTTAAGAGGCAGAGAGACACCCCTCATGTGAAGACAGAGGCATGGACTGGAGTTACACTCCCACAAGCCAAGGAACACCTGAGACCACCAGAAGCTGGAAGAGAAAAGGTCTATTTTCCCCTAGAGCCTTCAGAGAAAGCAGGGCCCCGTCATCACCCCAAGTTCAGAAAATTCCCTGCTTAGCACATCAGGCTGTAACCTGCTCACCCAGCCTCACCACAGCCCCTTGTTCCATTCCTACTTCACAGCTAAGAAGACTGAGTCTTAGAGACATTATCAGCAGAAAGAGCAGTAGCCCAAACCCAGGTCTGTATTTCTGTAAGCCTCAAGAGTTCAGGGAGTAGCCCGCCAGCATGGAAGTGGGTTGAGTGTAGGGCCGCTTGTAGGTAGTGTTTAAACAGAGCTACAGGGAGAGCAAGTGAGAGCTTGGAGGAGGAAGGACTCAGGAAGACTTCATGGAGGAAGTGCATTTGAGCTGGGCCATGAAAGGGAACCAGGGTTTCTCCAGGTGGAGTGGGGAACGGTCTGAAAAGAGTGAGAGTTGAGTCGCTCTTCATGTGAAGGAATGGTGGAATTACCGCCTTGGTAGTGATAGGAGGTAGAGCAGGGACCAGGCCATGAAAGGTCTTGGATCTTATCCTGTGGGAATGGGGAGCTACTGAAAGGACCAAGTGCATGCTGGTGGGGTATGTGTCCTGGCTGGAGGAGTACCCTAGGAAGGGAACCACAGAGGAAGACGTGTGGTGGGAATGGGAAAAAGGGAAGAGTTGGGCACTGGAATGGGAGCCTACATTCCTCTCCATTTCCCCCAGTGGGAGGTCTGAGCTGTGGCGGAAAGTGGGGGTGAGGTAGGGTAAAACAAGGCCCAAGACAAATTCCTTTACCTTCCTAGACTCCAACACACACATTTGGGGGGGGGGGGTAATCAGATAAAAGGAGGTATGTTGTTGTTGTTAAGTGCCATTGAGTTGGTTCTGACTCATAGTGACCCTGTATAGGGTTTCCAAGGAGCAGCTGGTGAGCTGGAAACGCCCACCTTCCTCTTCAAACCGACCTTACATTCCAGTACAGTAACCCACAGCACTAGAAAGACCTTAAGAAAGACAAAATGTCTCCAAAGGGCAACCAAGGGGCACGTCTTCCCAACCCTGAGGTCTCCCTAGTCCTTTGTGGATCTGCTCCCACCTGTGCTCACTATCTGAACGATCACTACGTCTATTCTAGAGAGCTCTCCCATTGACAAGTTGAGTCTTTTATGCTCCTCAGACTTTTCTAGAGCTTTCCAGATCAGTGTGGGGGAAAGAGAGTGAAGAGAGAGAAAAAGTTAAGACCCTGAAGTCAGATAAGTCTTGACTGAGTCCATGCTCTGTACCTTACTAGCTGGGTGATCTTGGGCAAGTCACTTCACCTCTCTGAGTTCCACATGTGAAATAGGGCTAAAAACAATATCTGCTCTGACCTCGGGGTGTTGTGAGAGTCAATGAGCTAAGAGGTGGAGAAAATGCAACTTTAGGGCTAGGACCATGGTTTGGTCCTCTCTGCACTGTGCTTCTAGTCTGGTTCAGGCCAATAGCGTGCACCTCCTCGTGTGGCCATGCACGCAGACTACAGAGTCCTTTTGCATTTATTGTCCGAGGCAAGTCATACAACCTCCTGAGGTGAGCAGATTGGGAGAGGGAAACAAGGCCCTTTAGCGTAGTGCGAACCTTGAGGTCAGCAGTTGGAAACTACCAGCTGTTCTGCGGGAGAAAGATGAGGCTTTCTGCTCCTGTAAAGATTTACGGCCTTGGAAACCCTGTACAGGGTCTCTATGAGTCAGAACAGACTCCACGGCACATCACCACCACCACCACCACCACCACCAAGGAAACTGAGACCCAAAGAAGGTAAATGATGACTTGCCCAAGGTTCTACAGCTTTCTAGAAAGCAGTAGAAGCACAGGTCCAGCTCGGTTTTCTTGCTCCCTGGCCAGCACACTCTCTATTTGGCTGGCACAGGAAGAGAAACCAGGGCAACAGAAAGAGGTTTCCCTTGCCTTTTTGCCTCCCCATGTCACCTCAGCCTCTGAGGAGAAGGGACTTGTCCAAGGTCATTTGTACAAATGGTGATGGGGCTAACCCACTGACTCCGGGCCTGGGAAGAAACTCTGTTTCACCTTATGAAATGTCAGCTAGAGAGAGATGTTGAAGGGAGCAAAACATTTCCAAAAATCAGCCAATGGGCATGTCCCTCGCTCCAGGGTCACCCTAGTCTTTCTTGATCTAGAATGGGTGCCTGGCTTGGCTGGCTGAAAGGTCACTTGGTGGTGATGGTGGTTGTGTGTCATCGAATTGGTTCTGACTCTTAGCAGCTCTGTATGGGATTACCGAGGCTATAATCTTTACAGCAGCAGAAAGCCTCAGCTTTCTCTTGAGGAATGGCTGGTGGATTCAAACTGCTAACCTTTCAGTTAGCAGGCCGCCATGTAACCCACTGCGCTATCAGGGATCCTTGGAAGGGAATTTCCATGGCATGAGGTTTCAAGAGTGTGTGGAGGGGAAGCTAGTGTCAGATTACCCAGTAAGCAAGGTAAGCATGGGCTTCCTTGTGCTTACTTACTAATCTGTAATGAACAAATTCACATGTTTTTCACCACCCCAACGATTCTACCTCTACGTCTGGGTGGCATCTCTATTCCAAGCCCACAGTACCTTCCTACAGAATCAATGCCTCGTCAAATTTATAGTCCCTGACTGGGACAGGGTATCCTGTATGCAAAGTCAGCATGGACAAAGTAAACCCGTGTTTACCTTGCTCATCTGGCTCTGGCAGGGACTGGGTTTGCCTGGGCTATCCTCCCCTACAGGACGTGGACTACAGAACTAAACATGAACCTGGTTTCTGCTGGGAGAGGCCTGGGGACATCCCAGAGGCCTACCCTCCAAATACAGCATGTGGGGAATACACTGATGCTGGGAAGGAAGAAGGGGACTTCTGGCTTCTGAGTGCACCTGAGGTGGCACGGGGTCCTAGTGTCTGACTCTTTCCTCTCAGACTGTTTCAGATTCTTTTCTTTAGCTCGGCTCCCCTGTGGTTTGGGGCTCGGCAGCGTCTAGAGCTTCCCACCCCCACCAGCCAAAAAGCAAGAGGAAGTGGCTGGTTCACAGACCAGAGGCAGCCAATGGCAGGCCTGCTGGGCCTAGCACTGAGGAGGTCTGAGAGAGCCCGTGTGAGGATTCATGAATCTCACCCATACCCACCTCAGCTGCAACTGTAGAGAAGCAGCTAGGGTGTGAAGAGTGCTACCGGAAATGGCAGACACCCCAGGCCCTGAGAGAGGACAGGACGTACACCTCAGTGGCCAGGGGCTTGGGCTCTCAGCTGTCTCAGCCTCCGCCCAGGAGTTGTGTGTGCCCCTGACTCTCGTACAGAGCTGGGCTCCAGGGGAAACTGGCAGGCCCCAGACCATGGCCTGAGGCTGGGCCTCTTGGACCTCGGTCAGGCCTGCTTCAGGATGGTTCTAGGATCCTGCTGGACATGCTTGCTGACTGCCTGGGAGAATCATAGAATCAAATCAATTGATGAAGTCTAGGAATCCTAGACCTGGAAGAGCCTTCAAGTCTGGCCTCTGTCCTAGGAAGACGAACACCTGAGCCCTCCACGACAGTTGTTATTTCCATGACCTTAAAAATCGCCTCACCGAACTTCCCCTCCTGGGTCCTCACTCTTGGCAAACAATTCCTCCCCTCTAGGAAGAATCTTTATGCTCCCCCACATCCCACTGCAGGTTTCGAGGCCTTTTTCCTGAGTCTGGAAGTCACCTCAGCCTAGCAGGCTGGGGTGGCCCCCTCTCCAGTGGGATGCTGGGGAGTGGCAACCGAACTGACTGAGCCAAGTGGGCAGGCAGCCTCTGAGTCAAAGGGTGGGGGGCTGAAAACATCAGATTCCAAGATAGGTGTCCCGGTGGGGTCCTTTGAGTGAGATAGCTGTACTCTGGCAGAAATGGCGGTAGATCGGTAAAGGGGAGGGGGAACGAAGCATTTGAGGTCTCTATCCCATTATAGTAGGGTTCACTTCTCTAACTCTACACTTTCAAGATTTTCTTCTGTAATTCTGTTACTCTAGAATTTTAAGTGTCTTTGGACCTCTTTTACTCTGGTAGCCTTTGGGCTCGTCTTCCATTGCCCTCAGGGAGAGTGGCCCTCACCTACAGACTCAACTATGGTCTTTGGCTCTCCCCACGTCTGAGTCCTGAAGGGAATGGGGTTGAGAGAGCAGAGCAGGAAAGGGAGACGCGAGTTCTCACAGATGCTCCTCACCTTCCTCTTCTGTGTGGGCTCCTTCTCGCTGGCGTTGGAGGGTTTGCGACGCAACATGGTCCTCTGCCCTGCTGAAACTCCGTTCCTGCTCTCCTAGGTGTCAAGATTCAGCGGGCTCTTGTTCAAGCTGGCCAGCACTGCCCAAGGTGTATGGCATGGGCTGAACCTCTGGCTGCCACTCCGACTGCAGCTTGGGGGTGCGGGCCATGGACACCCGCCAGCAGCAGCATACAGGAAGCTCTGCCACGTGACCTGTTCTTACAGCAATCGGAGCCCTTGCCGGCCCCTGGGGAGGAAGGAAGTCCCAGCTTCAGTCTCCAGAGATTCTGATACAGACGGCTCTTGGGTTGAACAATCAGAGAAAAGTCCCTACCCTGACACCTCATGCCAATCACCAGCCGTCCTTCTGCTCTGACGCCCCAGAGGTGGTCAACTTAGTCAAAGCCTCCTCAAGTCTTTTATCTTTTAGGGTCACTATGCGTCAGAATCGATTTGATGGCATTAGGTTTGGGTTTTTTTGTTTTTGTTTTCCACTCAAGTCTTTTATCTCACTGACCAGAATCCAGAAACCGGAAGTGGGACTATCTTTCTGGCCATTGGTCACTTTGCATCACCAAGGTTGTCACTGTCTTTGCTACCACTACCATCATCAGCCCCATGGGTATCACCCCTACAGCCGTCATCACTGCAGTCACCGTCACCGCCATCAGCTCCTCAGGCATAACTCCTACAGCCACTGCAGTCACCTCACTGTCACCTACAGCCATGAGCACTCAAATAATCAGCCCTCCCATCAACACCCATCACCCCTACAGCTATTGTCATTACAGTTATCCCCACAGCCAATGAACACCCAAACCCATCAGTACTAGAGCACTTAACCCAGCTGCTGTGATGCCCTTAGCCATCACTCCTAAAGTCAGCACCCGTACAAGTATCATTGTTAGCATCACCCTTACAGCAACCACCCCTACAGCTATTGTCACTGCAGTCATCTCACTGCCATTAGTACACCTACAGCCATCACCACCCCTCAGCCATCCCCTTTGTGGACACCATCAGTAGAGTCACTGACATGCTCACCCTTACAGTCATAACTCCTACAACCATCACTTCTTAGATCGCATCATCCTAGCCACCATCTCTATATAACCTTTCAGCCATCACCCTACAACCATCCCCATTAACCACAGACATCCCCATGAACACAGCGACATTGGAGCAATGAATCATCCCTACTGTCAACACGCCTCACCCATCACACATACGTTTGTCCCCATCACAGCCATCACTGCAACAGCTGGAAAGTTTTTGAAGTCAACTACACACCACCATCAAATACACCATCCAACAGACATTCATTATGTGCGTAGTAAACTTAGATAGTTCACTTGGTGGATTATCTGTGGCAGACATTTTAATGACTTAAAGACTTATTTAAAAAGTAATTCATATTCATTGTGTATACTTTAGTGAAGAAGCTTTTCAAAAAAGAAGAAAATGTTAAAAAAAAAAAAAAATCTCCAAAATTTTCTTCCACATTTTTTTTGGTGAATTTCTTTCTCTGTTTTCAGCAGAGAAGTTAAGTACTGTTGAGTAGGTCTGACTCATAGTGACCCTGTATAGGGTTTAAAGGAGCAACTGGTGGGTTTGAACTGCTGACCTTGTGATCCGCAATCTAGTGCTGATCCTACAGCGTCACACCAGGAGTCCATATTGGTCTACACTCTGTGCAGTATGATTTAAGAGTATTTATATATTTTAACAAGAATTATACTGCACAAAGAGCAAACCAGTGGATGGGTGTGGGTGGGGAGAAACAGAAAGGAGAGATTACAAAGATGCATCAGGAAATTTGGAGGGATGATGGATATATTTACTATCTTGAGTGTGGTGATAATATCATGGGTGTATACACAAGGTTAAGTAAAAAAAGGATTGTTACTAAATCATAGAACCTTTATTAAACAGAAAATCAAAATGTGAAGCTCTTCTTTCTCAGCATATCTTCCCTCTAGCTTTCACCTCTCTAACTCTTCTCCAGAAACCAACCAGCCACTCCTCAAAAACACATATTCAACAACATATTCAAAGAACATAAAAACAAAAACACAATTCGACTCCCTGAGTATGCCCAGACTGCCGTTTTGAAATGGTGTAAATCAAAGGGTACAGAATTCTTCTGTTGTTGTTGTTGTTAAGTGCCGTCGAGTCAGTTCTGAGTCATTGAGACCCTGCATAGGATTTCCAAGAAGTGTCTGGTGGGTTTCAACTGCCGAACTTGAAATTCAAGCCAACCTTGCAGTCCAGTGCTCATCCTACAGTGAGTGTAGGGAATGAAAAGAGTTTCTGAAGTGGCAAAATCAGGGCTGTACAGTTTCCCAATGAAAGTCTCCTAGCACAGCCCTTGCTACCTTCAAAGAATGAGCAGGTACATTGTCATGATGCACAGTAATTCCTGGCATAACGCTCTTGGTCTTTTCCTCATGAATGCAGTTTTCCATTTTCTTAAAACTTCTTCATTATAAGCTCCCATGATGGTCCAGTGTCCTTCAAGAAAACCTACCAAGATTACTGCTTGGAAATCCCCCCAAATGGTCACCGTAACCTTCTGAGTTGACCTCTCTGCTTTGAATTTAACTAGCCCAGCAACTCCCACTTGAAAGCCGTTGGTTTGATTAGACCTTTTGTAGGATAAGTGTTGGACTGCTGACCTCAAGGTGGGTGGTTCAAGCCACTACTTGTAAAACTTTATACAGGGTCGCTATGAGTCGGAGCAAATTTATCAGCACTTAATAACAACAAAAAGACTAAGAAAAGTGTAGTGCTAAGAGAATATGTCTACAGCCATCCAGTGATTACAGAGACATGTTGAAACACATTTTGTTTGGAATAAGTCCATGTATGTATAAACTAGAACCCTATTGTTGTTAAGTGCTGTCAAGTTGGTTCCGACTCACAGTTACCTTACACATAATAGAATGAAGCACTGCTCAATCCTGCGCTATTCTCACAATTGTTGCCACATTTGATCCTACTGTTGCTGCCACTGTGTTAAACCATCTCATCGAGGGTCTTCCTCTTTTTGGATGACCATCCACTTTACCAATTATGTCTTTCTCTAGGGTCTGATTCCTCCTGAAAACATGCCCATGAGCAAGAGACAAAGTGTTAACAAACCTCATTTCCAAGGACTGTTTTGACTGTACTTCTTCCAATATAGGTTTGTGTATTCTTCTGGCAATCCATGGCATTTTCAAGATTCTTTACCAACACCACAATTCAGAGGCATCAATTCTTCTCTGGTCTTCCTTAGTCATTGTCCAGCTTCCATATGCATATAGTGTGTGTAAGTACCATACAGTCAGTTCTGACTCATAGCGACCCTGTATAGGATTTTTAAAAATAGGTTTTTATTATGAATTGAGTGATAGTTTACATGGGAGAACATCAGCTTTACATTCATCCTATCATATTTCCTTTCATTGTAATGATTACAATCCCCTCCATGCATCATCATTCAACAGCATTTGCTTCCATTCCCTCTGTTTTGTTTTGTTGTTTTTTTTTTGATGTGCAACAAAGCACTCAGGAATATATAACAATTCAAACAACCAAAGGGTATACCCCACAAGACTGTCCCCCCTCAGTCAGCACACAGCCCCTCTCCCTCCCTGAGTCGAGAGTCCCCAGCCACTCCATCTCTCCACGTCATTGTTTCTGCCTCCATCTCTGGTGCCACTGCTTCTCTGGATAGGGTCCCGCACTCTGCTCTTCTCCCTTGATGGTCCCAGGATCCTCCGCTCCTGGACTGCAAGATCAACCACTCCCCTCTTTCCGTTAAAAAAGTCTACCTTTACATTTGCAACACTCAAATCTGTCCTGATAGCAATTATTCACTATTGAACCCCAAGACTCTTATTCCCATCTCCTTTCACCAGCCCCATACAGACAGGTTGGAAACCACTCAGTGGAGATTCTACCTTCCCCTGCACCCTCTGGAAACTAGGATCCCTCTTGAAAGCTTGTAGGCCAGTCACTTCATGCCTTTATAGCCGCCTCTCCCCCCCCCCCCCATTTGGAGTATTCAATGTCTAAGTTGCCCATCCCTGTCAAGCCCCTGTATAGGATTTTTAAGGAGTGGCTAGTGGGTTTGAACCACCAACCTTATGGTTAGCAGTACAGTGCTGATTCTACAGTGCTACACCAGGACTCAATTGAAAATACCATGGCTTGGTTCCGGTACACCTTAGTCCTCTTTGCATTTTAACACTGTAAAGAGGTCTTTTGCAGCACATTTGCCTAATGCAATGTGTTCTTTGATTTCTTGACTACTGCTTCCATGAGTATTAGTAGATTCAAACAAAATGGAGTTTTTGACAACTTCAATCTTTTCTCCATTTATCATGATGTTATTTATTGATCCACTTGTGAGGACTTTTGTTTAAATTGAGGTGCAACCCATATTGAAGGCTGTGGTCTTTGATCTTCACCACTAATATTTTAAGTCCTCTTTGCTTCCAGCAAGGAAAGTTGTATCATCTGCGTATTGCAATTTGTTAATGAGTCTTCCTCCAAACTTGATGTCACATTCTTCATATAATCCAGTTTCTCGGATTCCTTGCTCAGCATACAGACTGAATAAGTATGGTCAAAGAATACAACTCCGGTGCACACCTTTTCCGATTTTAAGCTACTCAGTATCCCCTTGTTCTGTTTTAACAACTGCCTCTTGGTCTATTTACAGGGTCCTCATGAGCACAATTAGGTGCTCCGGAAAACTCATACTTCGCAACGTTGTCCATAACTTGTCATGATCCACACAATCGAAGGCCTTTGTGTAGTCAGTAAAGCACAGGTAAACAACTTTCTGATATTCTCTGCTTTCAGTCAAGACCCAGCTGATATCAGCAATGAAATCCCTAGTTCCACACCATCTTCTGAATGCAGCTTGAACTTGTTGTCCATGTACAGTTGAAACCATTTAAAAATTATCTTCAGTAAAGTATTAATTGCATATGATATTTTCATATTATTTGGTAATTTCCACATTCTGTTGGGTCACCTTTTTTTGGGATGGGCACCAATATGGTTCTCTTCCTGTTGGTTGGTCAGGTAGCTGTCTTGAAATTTCTTGGCACAGACCAGTGAGCATTTCTGAGGCTGCATCAGTTTGCTGAAAGATTTCAATTGGTATTCTATCAATTCTTGGAGATTTGTTTTTCCATATGC